GGAAAAGGATAAGGAATTATTTTGACAAAATCCAAATAGATTCACTTTTCCAAAGTCCAAACTAAAAACTTTGACAGTGATCTTCCCTTGACAGGTGGGTGTAATCCCCTGGTGATCTTCCCTTGACAGGTGGGTGTAATCCCCTGGTGATCTTCCCTTGACAGGTGGGTGTGATCCCCTGGTGATCTTCCCTTGACAGGTGGGTGTGATCCCCTGGTGATCTTACCTTGACAGGTGGGTGTAATCACCTCGTTAACAAGGAAGGTCTCATGAACAATATATTATTTAGATTTTTAGAACCAAAGGCTATGGCAAGGTGCTCACGTAGTTGTACTCACCTAGTTGTGCTTGAGGGGGTTGAGCTCTGGCTCTTTGGTCCCGCCTCTCAACCGTCAATCAACTGGTGTAAAGATTCCTGAGCCTACTGGGCTCTATCATATCTACATTTGAAACTGTGTATGGAGTCAGCCTCCACCACATCACTGCCTAATGCATTCCACCTGTTAACAACTCTGACACTGAAAAAGTTCTCTCTAATGTCACCTGTGGCTCATGTGGGTACTCAGTCTCCACCTGTGTCCCCAGGTGATACACAGACGGGAGACAGAAATATGATAAGGTCATGGTGAGACATAGACAGGTGACAGAAATACATAGAGGAATGAGGACTCTGCAGCAAGAAATACATAAAAAAGACAGGAACATGTGAATACAAAACCATATTACATTAAATATTACACGAAACTTGAAGAAAATGACCAACGCGAAGAATTAAATTGAACGAAGAACTTAGGGAAATATTAAATATTTCAGAAGATAAAAGTTATTTAAAAGATATTTAATTCACAAGTATCAATGATGGTGAAAGGCAACTGAGTAATGATTGATGAGCATTAAAACCACAACAGCCAGACGGATCCATAATTAAATGGTCAGGTAATGGGGCGGGAAAGGCTTCTCATCTGGTGAGTCTAGACACCAGAGTTCGATCCCACACCAGTCACTTAATATTTTATGATTGAGTGGATAGTTAGAGTGGACAGTTAGTGTGGATAGTTAGTGTGGACAGTTAGTGTGGACAGTTAGAGTGGACAGTTAGTGTGGACAGTTAGTGTGGACAGTTAGTGTGGACAGTTAGTGTGGACAGTTAGTGTGGACAGTTAAAGTGGACAGTTAGAGTGGACAGTTAGTGTGGACAGTTAGTGTGGACAGTTAGTGGACAGAGTGGACAGTTAGTGGACAGTTAGTGTGGACAGAGTGGACAGTTAGAGTGGACAGTTAGTGGACAGTTAGAATGTCGTGACGCTGAACCCCGGTTCATTCCGAACACAGCGATTACACAACACATAACACCTTGCCTCAGCAACCGTTACTACCACCGTGTACTCCTACACACACCAGACCCTTGAGGCGTACCACTAGGTTTGTACTGGAACACAATGAATGAACATATGGAAGGTATTTAAAGGCCGTCGGGTTTTGTCATTTAATTACAAAGAATAGACTCTGACAAATAATAACATATTAACATACTCTATTAGGTCAATACACTTTCAATACCCATAGACCACTTGACCTCCGCGATCACCACCCACACTCGTAACTTCCGCCTAAGTCACTAATACGGAATGATTACTACAACGCTCCACACCCGGTTAGTCTTTCATTCAATACTCACATACTGCAGACTTAACTTCGTCACTAAGATCACATCAGGTTCTCGCATAGCTGTCTGCAACACTTCGCTGCTGCCGCAAACGGGGATCCAGAGGACTTCTCAGTTCAATTCCCACAATCAGACTGACTCTAGCCAACTATGGCCTCAATCATTTCACCACGCCTCTCAAGGAAGGTATAATCCGATTAACCTTATCCGTAGAGCGGTAACCTTGATCCTAGAAGCCTGACGAAGAATAATTCCTCTTTCCAGGAATTATTAATTTGGCTAAACAGCTTCGGTCTTAATCCATTGACCTTTCTTAGATATGTGATCCATAGTCTGTCTACTTACATGTACTTCCAATCATCATTCGTTAAGTGTTGTAGTAATGATCCTCTAGCTAATAATTCCTACTAACTTGTGGATTGCAACAAGAGTGGACAGTTAGTGGACAGTTAGTGGACAGTTAGTGGACAGTTAGTGGACAGTTAGAGTGGACAGAGTGGACAGTTAGAGTGGATAGTTAGTGGACAGTTAGAGTGGATAGTTAGTGCACAGTTAGTGGACAGTTAGTGGACAGTTAGAGTGGACAGTTAGTGGACAGTTAGAGAGGACAGTTAGAGTGGACAGTTAGTGTGGACAGTTAGAGTGGACAGTTAGAGTGGACAGTTAGTGGACAGTTAGAGAGGACAGTTAGAGTGGACAGTTAGTGTGGACAGTTAGTGTGGACAGTTAGTGGACAGTTAGAGAGGACAGTTAGAGTGGACAGTTAGAGTGGACAGTTAGTGGACAGTTAGAGAGGACAGTTAGAGTGGACAGTTAGAGTGGACAGTTAGTGTGGACAGTTAGAGTGGACAGTTAGTGTGGACAGTTAGTGGACAGTTAGTGGACAGTTAGAGAGGACAGTTAGAGTGGACAGTTAGTGGACAGAGTGGACAGTTAGAGTGGACAGTTAGTGGACAGTTAGTGGACAGTTAGAGTGGACAGTTAGTGGACAGTTAGTGGACAGTTAGAGAGGACAGTTAGAGTGGACAGTTAGAGAGGACAGTTAGAGTGGACAGTTAGAGTGTACAATTAGTGGACAGTTAGAGAGGACAGTTAGAGTGGACAGTTAGAGGACAGTTAGTGGACAGTTAGAGTGGACAGTTAGAGTGGACAGTTAGAGTGGACAGTTAGTGGACAGTTAGAGTGGACAGTTAGTGGACAGTTAGAATGGACAGGGTGACCGTTCTCTCAAACAGTACGTCGCATTTTGACGACCCGTACGACCCGTACGACCATAAACTAACGTTCTGACAGCCGGGTGGCAAAATTAACACGATGCTCCTTTTTCTATTGGTGGCTCCGGGGTTAGGTTAGGTTAGGGCAACTTGGTAAGTCATTTTAGTGAGGTGTTGAACGCTCAGGAGAACGGCTCTCAAAATCATTTCGTCCTCCTCTACTAATCCTGTACTGCTAATCCTGTACTGCTAATTCTGCACTGCTAATCTTGCACTGCTAATCTTGCACTGCTAATCTTGCACTGCTAATCCTGCACTACTAATCCTGCACTGCTAATCCTGCATTACTAATCCTGTACTACTAATCCTGTACTGCTAATCCTGTTCTGCTAATTCTACACTGCTAATCCTGTACTGCTAATCCTGTACTGCTAATCCTGTACTGCTTATCATGCACTGCTAATCTTGTACGTCTAATCCTATACGTCTAATCCAATACTGCTAATACATTACTGCTTGTCCTGTACTGCTAATCCTGCACTACTAATCCTGCACTGCTAATCCTGTACTGCTAATCCTTCACTGCTAATCCTGCACTGTTAATCCTGCACTGTTAATCCTGCACTGCTAATTTTTCACTGCAATCCAGTAGAGCTAATCCTTTACTGCTAATCCCGTACTGCTAATCCTGTACTGTTAATCCTTTATTGCTAATCCTACACTGCTAATCCTGTACTGCTAATCCTGTACTGCTAATCTTGTACAGCTAATCCTGCACTGCTTATCCTATATTGCTAATTTCGTACAGCTTATCCTGTACTGTTAATCCTTTATTGCTAATCCTACACTGCTAATCCTGTACTGCTAATCCTGTACTGCTAATACTGGACTGCTAATCCTGTACTGTTAATCCTGGACTGCTTATCCCTTAGTGCTAATTCTGTACTGCTAATCCTGTACTGCTAATTCTGTTCAGCTAATCCTGCACTGCTAATCCTGTACTGCCAATCATGTTCAGCTAATCCTGCACTGCTAATCCTGCACTGCTAATCCTGCACTGCTAATCCTGTACTGCTAATCCTGCTTTGCTAATCCTACTCTGCTAATCCTCCACTGCTAATCCTGTTCAGCTAATCCTGCACTGCTAATCATACACTGCTAATCCTGCAATGCTAATCTTTTTCAGCTAATCCTGCACTGCTAATCCTGTTCAGCTAATCCTGCACTGCTAATCCTTTACTGCTAATCCTGCCTGCTAATCCTGCACTGCTAATCCTGCACTGCTAATCCTGCACTGCTAATCCTGTACTGCTAATCCTGCACTGCTAATCCTGCACTGCTAATCCTGTACTGCTAATCTTGTTCAGCTAATCCTGCACTGCTAATCCTTTACTGCTAATCCTGTACTGTTAATCCTGTTCAGCTAATCCTGCACTGCTAATCCTGTACTGCTAATCTTGTTCAGCTAATCATGCACTGCTAATCCCTTACTGCTAATCCTGTACTGCTAATCCTGTTCAGCTAATCCTGCACTACTAATCCTACACTGCTAATCCTATCCGACATATTCGCTTGTGAATTTTCCGTGTTTCGTAAAACAATATTTCGGATTACAGAGGTCAAGTAATATGGATTTTGTTGAGAGATCAGATAACTGATATCGTTGTTGAGAGATCAGATAACTGATATCGTTGTTGAGAGATCGGATAACTGATATCGCTGTTCAGAGATCGGATAACTGATATCGCTGTTCGGGGTTCGGATAACTGATATCGTTGTTCGGAGATCGGATAACTGATATCGTTGTTCGGAGATCGGATAACTGATATCGTTGTTCGGAGATCGATAACTGATATCGTTGTTCGGAGATCGGATAACTGATATCGTTGTTCGGAGATCGGATAACTGATATCGTTGTTCGGAGATCAGATGACTGATATCGTTGTTCAGAGATCGGTAACCAATATCGTAACTCACAGATCGGATAACATAAATCTATTAAAAGTTAACCACCAACAGAGACAGGATAACACGGGCATAGATATCACAGAGAGACTGGATATCAAGGGAATGCTGCAACAGGGGGTAACAGATAACGGGGAGTTAAACAGAACACTCACCAATCTGTACCAAGATATCTTGTAGGTGGGAGGATTGGAATCCACATTACAGTTGAAGTACACGTCCTCACCCTCTTTTACCACAGAGGAGACGCCGCGGCCCAGCTCCATAGTGGCCACAGGTGGATCTGTCACGGGGATTAACGAGGATTAGCAGGGGGGATTAGTTCCAGGACTGATGATGATTGGTGTAAATACCTGCGGGGGATCTGTTATAGGGGGGAGGAATTAAATTACATTAATAAATTGGAAATAAAGGGATTTAGTGTGATTCGAGGAAGTAAATCCTTTTTGGATTAGTTAAAAGGAAATATTGACGGGGATTAGTTAATGAGATCAGAGATTAAATGGCAGTTGATGAATGACATTCCTAACTATGAGGAGATTTATAAGAACAATCAGAGATAAGTTCATATTTCATAAGTTCATAAGTTCATAAGTTCATATCAGTTAAGATAAGGATTCAGAGATAAGTTAATAGGGTTAAAAATAACCCAATCATGAATTTAATTTAATAATTTAATTGCTTTTTAATTAAATTTAATATTACAAATTTAAGAAAAAATTTAAAGAAAGTTTAGGTCCCCCATATACGTGAATATATTTATTGGAGATAAAATATTTCTTAGGTGATGAGTAAGTCATTGTAATGAGTCACAGTTGCCAGGGAAGGTGATGAGTAAGAGAGTATAATGAGTCACAGTTGCCAAGGGAATCTTATCTTACCTGATGAGTAAGAGAGTATAATGAGTCACAGTTGTAAGGGAAGGTGATGAGTAAGGCAGTACAATGAGTCTCAGTTACCAGGGGGGGGGGAAGGTGATGAATAAGAGAGGCCATATAGTCTATATGATGAGAGAGACTGTGAGGGCATTGTCTATAATGAAATACGATGAAATAATGAAAAGACATTTAGATGCCCCGAAACCCGTACATCTTCCCTCGATAAAGGCAGCCTAGTTTACATTACTAAAACAGTTTACCAGCGTGTAAACTCCACAACCCAGGGTTATGATCTCTATACACAACCCGGAAGTGTTTCGGAGCTCACAACCTCTTCAATAAATGCATATATAGCAGCCAGGATCGAGAGAAGATGTAAAGGTTTCGTCCATCTTTGATGACTCCTGGCTGGAGTTTCTCTGAGGTAATCATCACTTCAAGTTCCCAGCCGAGGAAAAGTTAAAGAAAGTTTAATAATAAAGTTTTTTTTTAACTTTTTTTAAAGTTAAAAAAACTGAAGATCGGAGAGTGTCAGAATGGGCGAATTAGCTGACAGCAGAGCCAGAATCAGCTGTCAGCAGAGCCAAAATCAGTTGTCAGCAGTCACCTTATGTTAGGGTCTCAACCTCCGAGCTGGCTGACACAACCTGTTCTCGACTCAAGTCCATTCCATCCAGCGGTCGACCCCATAGACACATTTATCAATTTTAACATACTGTTCATTCAAGACGGGATTGTTCTCATATCTAAATTAATATTATGATGTATTAGCATATTGTGCATATATAGGCATTGCTTAGGTTAGGTGTTAAGGTTTTGTTGGCGATTATTTGTATTTGTAGTACGTGGGTGAAGCATTTACAGCGTTGTGATTCGAACAAAAGTCGTCAGCGAAGCACTTGTTCCGGAAGTGTTCGGACGTCATCAGTTGTGAGTCGTGTGTAAACCGTTTTTCATTCATAAACACCAGGGGGGTTGGCGGGTGGATGGAATCACTTTTGGGTATTGGTTTGGAGTACGGGATGGAGCTGACGAGGCCTGACAGGTCAGCTATCAGCAAGGTCAGACACCAGTGTCAGCGCTGATGGCGGGGGGGGGGGGACCCTTGCAGAGATGGATGGTAGTTAGTGGTGAGCGGCTGAGATTTGTGGGGATTGGACAGGAATTATTTGTCGAATTAAAGGGATTTGACTCAAATTGGTCCCTTACATGAGGATTGGAGAGGGATTAGGGAGTAATTGGATCAAGGTTAGAAGCGATTGGTAACATTTTGTGAGTACTTTATCGAGGTCTTGCAAATTAGGGTGACTTGAGCCATAACAGGAATTCCTTCTGATTTCTGCTAACTTATACCATAGTTAACGAGTTGCATGTTGGAATTGGGGAAAAATCTGGAACCACTGAGGTAAATGGGAGAAAATCAGTGGTAATTAGGAAGGGAAATGGGCCAACAATTACCCGTAGGTTCTGTAATGAATGCTAGTCCAGTTATACTATCCTGCTTACGATCCCTTCTCTCTCTCTCTCTCTCTCTCTGAACTTCAGTCTGCCCTGGCTCTCTGCAGCTCTATAGCAGCGGGCTCGGATGACATTCATTATGAGATGCTTCGCCATCTCCCTCCGTGCACGTCTCAGTATCGAGCCAGTCCCTGAGGACTGGCTCGATGCCGTTGTCCTCCCTGTTCGGAAACCCGGGTCTCTCGGGACATCCCCTAAGGACTTCCGCCCTATTGCCCTCACGAGTTGTGTCTGCAAACTCGTTGAGCGTATGGTCAGTGTGCGTCTGATGTGGTTCTTGGAACACTGTCACCACCTCTCCTCCTTCTCAATTTGGTTTTCGCAAATGCCGCAGCACATCAGGTGTCTCAGTCCTACCTTATTTAATATCTTAATAAACACGCTGTTAAACTCTGTACCGAGCAAACCCAACGTCCACATCATTTGCTATGCTGATGATATAATGATAAACACCACTGGGTATGCTGATGATATAATGATACACACCGCTGGGTATGCTAACACGCAGAACTCTTAACTCTGTATTAGACTCATGTCAGGACCTAGGTTTAATTATCACAGCAGAGAAAACAAAGATACTAAATCGGCGCCCACCCAGGCAGGGAGGAGCTGTTCGCAAGATGCAACTGTCTGATGGCTTCCAGCTTGACTATGTAAACAGATTCAAATACCTTGGCCTCGAGGTGCCACTGTATGGTCCTGTTGTATTCAGACTCTGTCGTCAGTTTAAAGAGAGGCTCCGAGCTCTCAAGGCTGTTGCAGGTTATCACTCAGGCTATCGTGCCAATCTCACAATTGTCAAAATGATGTACCTTGCAGACATCAGTTCTTTAGTGGATTATGCTGCACCTCTGCTTGCTTTGATGCCTGAAAGAAAGCTTGGAGGGCTGGAAAAATTGCAGAACGAAGCCTTGAGGATAATCCTTGGGTGCCCTCGTACCACAAAGATACTTAACATGAGAAAGGAACTTATTATTCCGAGTGTTGTTGATCGTGTTACTGTAATTAACTGTCAAATTGGTATAAAAATGCTTAGGCTAACTCATCCTAACTCTTCCACAGAAGCCCTCCAGAATTTCCTTATTGAAGATCAGCATTGTTCCAGATAGATAACTATCTTGAGGTTATCTTGAGATGATTTCGGGGCTTTTTAGTGTCCCCGCGGCCCGGTCCTCGACCAGACCTCCACCCCCAGGAAGCAGCCCGTGACAGCTGACTAACTCCCAGGTACCTATTTACTGCTAGGTAACAGGGGCATTCAGGGTGAAAGAAACTTTGCCCATTTGTTTCTGCCTCGTGCGGGAATCGAACCCGCGCCACAGAATTACGAGTCCTGCGCGCTATCCACCAGGCTACGAGGCCCCTTAAAACTTAAAACTAAAACTGGAACTGAACTCAAATTGTATAAGGTTTATAATTTGTACTGAAGAGAAGCAACAACGGCACTTTCCTGCACCGTGGGAGATTACACCCTTTCCAATTTTAATCCCTCCCTTTCCACCCAAGAAACAAATTAGAGATCATCCCAAGCTTCGTCTTGAGGCAAAGCTCAACGCCTTAAGCCATATTGATGCTCTGTCCACAGAGCATTCTCTCTCTCAAATTATAAACACTGATGGTTCCCTACACCGCACCACGGGTGCAGCTGGAAGTGCAGTTGTCCTGACAATGGGCGATGGCCTATACTTTGAGTGGGGAGTCCGTATAAACAACTTGGCCTCTACCCTTCAGACCGAACTATTTGCTTTGATCCTTGCACTGAAATGTGTACGTCTCCAAACTTGATACATTAATTGTAAGTGACTCTTTATCATCCTTAATTGCTCTCAACTCTTTAAGACATAACTGTAACATGCTCGTGTCAGAAGCTAGGCACAAATACAACAAAATTATTAATGATAAAACAAAGTCCATTTCATGTGGTCTCCATCTCATGTTGGCCTCCGAATGCATGATAGAGCTGATAAGTTAGCCAAAGAATCTGCCTTTAAAGGAGCCGTTGAGTGTAACCTTGGATTGTCAATGAGCAATCTGAGAGCAGCTGTACACCGAGAACTTCAACAAGATCTTGTAGATCTGAGGTAAAGTGAAATTGACACCAGTAATTCCATCTATCATCATACTATTATGCAAGAGGAGCCACACATTTATGGTTCATCCAATAAAATCAGCAGACTTCTAGATGTTACTACTGCTCGGCTTAGACTCGGTTACAAGTATCTCTGGGAATTCTCATTATCTGCCGATGTAGACCTGACCAAATGTAAACTGTGTCAACAAAATTATTCGCACACCCTCCGTCACTATGTGATGGAGTGCGAAAAGATACGTGAATTCAGAGACAATTCTATAACCAATGTTCCAGCGATGTGTAAATATTTCATTAAAATGATCTGCTACCAGAAATTTTAGCCAAATATCCCCAGTTTGCAAACTGTAGGTAGTAACTAAGTGATTGTAACCTATCCACTGCTGCCCATTTGATGGGGGGCGGTGTGCGGGACATTGGATGGGGGGCGGTGTGCGGGACATTGGATGGGGGGCGGTGTGCACAATTGATATTAGCTCTCCACATATGTCAGCTGCTTAATTTAGAAACTGTACTTATGGTCGATCTCGAACCCATTTATGGTGTGATGACTTATACTGAATTTTGTAGCTAACTCATCAAGATTGTAACTTGCTTAGCTAAATGAATTGTGGGGTTCAGTCCCTGAGCCCATTATGTGCCAATGTACCCCTTTCCACTACCAGCCCACATGATGGGTATGGGGTGCATAATAAATGAACTAAACTAAAACCTGGTGAACTTGGAGGTCTATATTCGTACTGTTTTTGCTGTGAAGACCTCCGTTGTTGCCGTCCTTTTTGACCTGGAAAAGGCTTA